AATATCTTCAATGCTTTTTATGTCGTTTAAGGTAACATATTTAATATTACTTACTACATTTGGCTGAAATAGCCAATTTAATATTATTTTTCGTTGTTCAATTACTGGTTTATTTTTAAAGCTTTTGTAATTTTTTTTGTTATGTTTTTTTGTTAACCCTATAACAGTAAGATCGCGTCCTTTAGGACGTCCTCTAATCTTTGACGGGAACACTATTATTTTATTAAGGTCAGTGTTATTGCTTTCATTAAAAAATTCCTGTTCTAGTTCATTACTAAGATTAAGCTCTTCAAGGTCTGCTTCTCTATTAAATATAGTTGGTTTTTCGATAGAATTATCACCTTTTATCATATTAGGTATTTGTTCATCAAAATCTAAGTTTTCACTAGTATTGTGATCTTCATATTCTTTATTATCAAGATAAAGCTCTTCAAGGTCTGCTTCTCTATTAAATATATTTGGTTCTTTGATAGAATTATCACCTTTTATCATATTAGGTATTTGTTCATCAAAATCTAAGTTTTCACTAGTATTGTGATCTTCATATTCTTTATTATCAAGATAAAGCTCTTCAAGGTCTGCTTCTCTATTAAATATATTTGGTTCTTTGATAGAATTATCACATTTTATCATATTAGGTATTTGTTCATCAAAAGCTAAGTTTTCGTTAGTATTGTGATCTTTATTTTCTTTATTATCAAGATAAAGCTCTTTAAGGTCTATTTTTCTATTAAGTACAGTCGTTTCTTTATTAGAATTATCACAGTTTGTCATATTAGTTATTTCTTCTTCAAAGTCCAAGTTTTGGCTAACCAAAACTTGGACTTTGAAGAAGAAATAACTAATAATAATTATTATTGTTGTCTTCATATTCCATTTCATCACTTATCACATCTCTTCCAAGATTAAGCTCTTCAGTGCTTGTTTCTCTATTAAACCCTTCAGTATCATTATGATTGGCATATGTAAATTGAAACTTGTAGATGTTACTTTGTAACATTTCCACAATGTTATCAAACAGATCAACTATCCTTATGAAATTGTCACCTTGAGCTTCTGTGCCTAATGATGCTGCCATCTTACATTTAGTAAATAACAGCCTGAATTTTTCTTGTTCACTTAAAACTTTTTTTGGTTTACCATGAAACCTGTCTACCATATTATTTGTCATTGATTGATCTTCATTCCATTCGTCAACATTAATTTCTTTGAATAATGAATTATTTCCAATCAAATATTGCATTTTCCACCTTTCAGGTATTAAATTTTCGTCGTACAAATCTTTACCAACATGCTGCCTTACAGCAAAAATATGCCTGCATGGTAAACGCATAGATTCATAAAAATAACAAGAGCAAATTTTGATAGTAGTGCAGTATAAAGAGATGTCAGGAGTGGTGTTGGGAATGGCAGTAGATATTGGCGAGTAGCAGCATGAAAACGTTTCACCCATAATCACATTAACTTTAAATAAACCTATGTCTATAAACTGTTTCTTCATTTTCAAGAATGAATATGGTGTCATTATTTTTTGATATTTGTACTCTGCACTATCCAATTTGGGTAGAATTGTGGGTCTTTTATTTAAAGAATTTGCTAATCTGTTGTTTTGTTCATCCTCCAATGATTTTAAAATTGTAAATAACTTTTCTAAAAATTCCCCAATTGAACTGTGCTTATTTATTACTTGCTTCAACTTGGAATTTATACATTCTATTCTGTTGTTTGTTGTATTTCAGAAATTATTATGTTGGGCACCTAAATACCACTCATCTTTAATGTTTAGCCAGTTATTTTCCAAATACTGAAACACTTGTCCAGGAATTTTACTTTTCATATCTTCAATTATATTTACAAAAATTGTATCATTTTTGGTATATACCAATTTTTGTAAATATTCAAGAATTGTTTTTTTTTCTTTGTCTGTAATCTGAAATTTTTCGCAGGTAATTTCTGTTCGAAATATTTTTAAGGCATGGAAAATACATATTTGCAAACGTGCTTCTGGAAAACATTCTGAGATTACATTTCTTTCCACCAGATCTTTATCAGTCATTATTGTTTTTGTCTTGGTCCAATTCGGATTTTCCATTTTGAAATGATCAAGAAACCACTTAAGGCTTTCTTTATCTTCATTTACCAAGATACCCACTGCCACTACAACACTTTCCCCATTTCCATTTTCGTTTAAAATTAAGAAGACAGGGGCTCTTATGCTTAATAATTTATAGGTAGCATCAATGCATAGGAATTCTGGGTATGCAGCCATTGCTGCTTTCATAGCTTTAGTAGAAAACATCAATCCTTTAAACACATTATTTACATCAATCAGTAAGTGACTGTTAGCTCCTACAAAAGATTAAAAGGATTAAAAGTCAAAGGATTCAATTCAATTCAATAAATCTGAATACAGAGTATCTCTGTATTCAGAGGTCAAAGGATTAGATAAGTAGGTATAGAAACTAACCAAACTTTGTCTGTATTTCTTCACCAGTGTTGCCAATTGCTTTTGTCAAAATTACACCCAAACTCTCCAGAATTACACCACATTACACCCCAACAAAAATTAAGCCTGATTTATAACATTGAAAATGTCGTATGCTCAAAACCCATATTTTTTTGCAAAAATAATACGTTATCAAATTAAAAAACGCTTGTTTTCATAGATTGCATTTCCTTTGTGTGAAACCATAAACAATACGCAAGCATTTACAAAAAATATGCAAATCTAAAAAGGAATTTGGTCTATAACACTAAAATTTTGTTGCGATATTGATTCGGTAAATAAAATAAGTACTCACAGTTACTTTTTTTTCTACACTATTTTCAGGTTCTGCAGAAGTAGAAGATCTTTGGATAATAAATCATTGATATTACCAGTGCATTTCTAAAAATAATTTTAGATATAAAGGTACAATTTTATATATTGAGAATGAGATAGCTGTACTAAATAACAATTACCTTTAAAAGCCAGCGATCCATTTTTAAATAACAAAACCAAAATTCACATTCTACTTCTTTAGCCATAATACCTAATACTACGTAAATATTATGATATTAAATCCAGGGATTCCCCTTTTTATAAAATGAATTATATTTTAATCACATTTAAAACTTTCCTTAAATAAAAATAGGTACGTTTTAAATGATCCGTCCAAAATTACACCCAAATTACACCGCATTCAAAAATGTTAGAAAATTACATCAGTCAGTAAATTACACCCAAATGGTGTAATTACACCGCAATTGGCAACACTGTTCTTCACAAGCTTCTTTAATGTTGTTGGTTCCCCTTTTGTTTTGTCTTTGTAAGTTGGTAAGATCTTTTAAAGTTATTTTCTTATCTATCTTTCTTTGCAGTTCATCTCTAAGCATATGACGGTTCACTTTCATGTCCAGCATCCTTTTTGCATCCTCTTTAATTTCACTAGGTAACTTTCTTTGTTGTGGTAATAATTCAAATAGGTTCTGTAATTAATCCATATTTTAAAATGCATATATTGCATAGGTAACTTTTTATCAATAAAAAAGTAGGTATACATATATATATATATATATATGTATGTATTATAAGAGTCAAACCGCGTCAAACATGACAATGATTTTTCATGGATTCTTTGATTTTCAAAACAAATATTGTACATACAAAGTAGCCAAACAAGAAAACACTTGGTTTTTTTGGAAAATGTGGTTTGTATTTTAAGTCATTTGTTTCTTTATGTACTAAATTCTATTACATAATACCCTATAATATATAACTAATGGACATTACAGCAACTGAGGAAATATGCTAATAAACCTAAATATGCCTTAGTAAAGGGGCCGTCCATAAATCTAGTGACACTAAAAATGGTCCAAATTGACACCATCCCTCTCTCTCGTGACATTATGCTACGTTGTAAAGACCCCCCCCGAAGGGGTCACTCAATTCGACCTGTCATTAGCGCCCTCTAGGTGTACCATCAAAACTTATCACAATTTTTTATTTCTCATCCTTATTAACTATAGTGTAGAAATTTGAGTTTGATACATTAAATTGTTTTTCAAATACTACAGATTTTCAAAAATATTGTCTCACATTTATCGCTCTGTATCTTGGTTATTCTTAACATTTTATTACCTGATACCTGATAATATTTTAGGCGTGGGTTCAAGTACCTATCGGTTTTTTTTCCTCCCGCTGCAATCGTTCTTGAATCCCGTTTGGAGAATTGCACATGGTTCACTTTAGTGGCTTCATTTAAAGTCTTTTCTACATCTTCTAGTGTTGCAAATATGTCTCCTACTTGTATTCCCAAGGAAACAACAACAATATCTTCCATATCTTTTACAATATCTTTTACATATATACGGCTAATAACATAACCATAATTCCACTTATATAGGTATAACACTTTGAATAAAATTATTCAAAGGTATAACATAACCTTAGTAAACAACGACGGTGCGGCAATAAAATTTAAAAAACGCCGGCGGCGGGGAAGCCATAAAATTTTCAAAAACCCGCCGGCGGCGCAGTAGACAATACCTTCTTTCATTGACTATACTTTGACAGATACATAACCTGAAAAATTTTCAAAAGACTGCGTTCCGTACGTGGTCACGTGGTGGGACTTTGAAGTGTGGAGCATAGTACCATTTTTAAATACTAAAAATACCAAGTCAAACTGGCATAAGCCACCAACCTAACAAAAAAACACGAGTCCAGATAAAAAAAAAATGTACAGTTTTCATATTGTTAATCTTTTACGGAAGGAAGGAAGGGAATCTATAAATCACGCTTTACTTTTATATTTGGAGCTATTGGTAGCCCTTATAATAATCTAAACTTTAACGCAACGTTGACTAATTTTATTTCGACGCTAGGGTTTAATGATCCAAAGGTATTATTAAAAATTAGAACAAAGAGAGCTTTAATTTGTTAACTATCAAGATATATTTATATAAACAGAAAATATTAATAAAAATGTAAAATATTCTTAAGGGGTTTTTAAATCTTTAATCTGGCAACACGGTTCAAGTTTGACACCTGTAGATTGTTTAAAAATATGGCTTCAAGAGGGAAGTTAAACGAAGAGGTAAGTTTATATTCTTTATAATATTATGCTTTATGTATTCAAAAAAAACTAAAAGTAAATATGCCTTTAATCTTATTTTTAATTTTACTTTTATGTTTGCTATATTTATAGATTTTCACTTAAAAAAAGTTTTGCAGAAAGCCACGCCCATTTATTATTATTTACGAACAGGTGGTTGACATGCACGGTTGGAAAGATGCTAAATTATACATTTACTACTTAATCCAGCAAACAACTGTAAAGGTTCTATAATGTTCTATTTAAGAACGTGCCTTTAACAAACTGAAGACCCTATAGTTTAATTTTTAAAAATATGTTTATTTTGTAGCGAAGCCTGGTTCTAAAGCCTCATTCAGAACCTCGTAATTAGTGGAATAAAGTTTGTCTTATGAATATACACAGTGTTGTTCACAACCAAAAAATTAGTGGTAGCTACCACTAATTTACTAGTACTTTTTAATTAGTGGAAAAAGTCTGCAAACATCTAACTTTTACCACTAATTTTAATTGGAAAGCGGCTTTCCGCATGTGCGCGGATATTTTATGTCAAAAGCAAAAAGTTTGAAGATTTGCCAGTGAAGGTAAGGTTATATAAATATTATTGTAATGGTTGTACAAAATATTATTTTAATATAATTATAAGCCGCTTTCCAATTAAAATTAGTGGTAAAAGTTAGAAGTTTGCAAACTTTTTCTACTAATTAAAAAGTACTACCACTAATTTTTTGGTTGTGAACAACACTGTGTATATTCATAAGACAAACTTTTACGTTAATGAAACCACTAATTTATTCCACTAATTACGAGGTTCTGAATGAGGCTTTAGAACCAGGCTTCGCTACATAATAATAAACAGATTTTTCAAAATTAAACTATAGGGTCTCCAGTTTGTTAAAGGTTTGTTAATTATTAATATTGTTTATGTCAGGTTAAGAAAAATGGACAATCTTTTAGCAAATTCCCTTAATTTTAGATGTTAATTAAAATTAAAATTTTGCGCATTGTGAATGATCGTTTTGTGTTAATTATAAGTATAATTGAAACCACTAATTTTTTCCACTAATTACGAGGTTAAAGCCTCATCCAGAACCTGAAACCTGAAAAAGTAATATTTTCAAAAAATAAGAAGAATAAGCGTTAAAATGACCTCAATTATTTATATTTAAATGTCAAAGTAGGACTTTTGGGTGAGGATCATAGTACGTACGTTTTTTTGAGCGATCTTCGATGCCGCTGGTATGGCTATGGCACACATGCGTCGAGCTTCGCCAACTTACGCCGAGGGGCCTGTAGTAACCTAGAGATGCGCATCCGTATAGGCATCCCTATAGGGATATATTATATATATCATATATACGAGCCCTAACCACATAATGTTCGGACACTTCATAATTTATACAGAATTTTTTTTAGTGAATACTATCTCAAAATTATTAGAAGTTATGAAAAATTCAGCTTATTTTGGCATATACCCCTCGAAGCGATTTTTATTTTTAAAAAGTTTACCTTTTATTTTTAGCTTTTAAAAAAAGGCTAACTTTTTAACTTTTTTTTGCATGAGTAAAAAAAGTTATAAATGGGCCCATTAAAAAGAACATAAAATATTATACAAACCCTGAAAATTTGGTAAAAATTGTATAAATAATAAGAAAGTTATAGCGATATATATATCTGCAAAATCTCCCGTTTCCTAAGAAAATTGCAAAAACTCTTTAAAAATAGCATTTTTAAATTACTTATTATTTTTTATAACTTATTTATTTTTTACCAAATTTTCAGGGTTTGTATAATATTTTATGCTCTTTTTAATGGGTCCATTTATAACTTTTTTTACTCATACAAAAAAAAGTTAAAAAGTTAGCTTTTTTTTAAAAGCTAAAAATAAAAGGTAAACTTTTTAAAAATAAAAATCGCTTCGAGGGGTATATGCCAAAATAAGCTGAATTTTTCATAACTTCTAATAATTTTGAGATAGTATTCACGAAAAAAATTTCTGTATAAATTATGAAGTGTCCGAACATTATGTGGTTAGGGCTCGTATAAGCTTTCCTGCGCTATTTGGTGTATCATTTTATGTCTTGTAATCGAGTTACTTCTGAATTTAGTCTTCTTGATGTGGAGCATCGAGATTGGCGGTCTTAGGAATGTGATGCAATCCTCCATTTCTATGTAATAGTATTAGTATCGCTCTGAGGTTTATTGCATAATTGGGTCAATCTTTCGTGAAACGCATAGTACCCATTGTAGAAACTTTTTTCAGAAAAACAGAAAAAGTTTTAGCAAGTAAAAATAGGAGTTTTGAAAGTCTTCTCTGAAAAACTCAGAATAATACATATTAAGTCAGACTATTGGCAAGATTTGTCTTCTGGAAAAGAAATAATTACTTTCAAACCTCTTATTTTTACTTATTAAAAATTGATCTCAGTTTTACAGAAGAAAATTTCCACAAGGGACCTTATAGTTGTTTAAATAACATATTGAGTACCTATTTAATTATTTGATTCTATTTTATACATGATGCATTGCCAGGAATTTGGTCTAAAGCTGTCAGTAATTTCACGTCGAACTATTGCCCAGATAATATTTGGAAGTTCATTTTTTCTGCATAGTACCCGCACGCGCGGGGTTAAGCAGCACGTATGCTTTTAAATTGAGGATTGCGTAAATCCTTATTATTTTTATTATTATATTTTTTAATACAATTATTTCTTTTCATTAAATATTTTGTTATGTAAAACTGCAATTTAAATTAAGAATATTATTATTCGAAGCAAACCGAGATTTCTATTAGCACAACTCTTTAAGAGTTACTCTTATATCTATTACTTTAATTCATCAAAATATTTTGCCATATATTATGTTTAAATTATAATTTATAATTTTATAATACATATATTTTTAAACCAAATAGGCATTATATGTATTTTTTCGCCCAGCACATATAAAAATGAATCATATCAAATCTAAAAATATGACCGAAAATAATATTTATTGTCTCTAGGGTCGGTAAACTCATATCGTCCCTAGGGCCGCTAAACTTGATTTTTGTAGTTTTTTACAATCTAGACACCTTTGACTGACATTTATGTATTTTGGTATTTGACATTTTGACATTTGAGATTTTCAGACGTTTGTGTAAATCAAAATAAAAACGGACAACAAAAGTATAAAATAACATCAAAACCTGATTTAAATTTTGTAATAAAGTGAAAATGAATGGTACAGTTGTATTCATTAAAAAAGCGTACAAGAATTAAAATGAGAGAAAACTGTCAACATTATTGCGTAAAACCGGCTTTCCACTGACTTAAGTCACTATAACTGACAGTAGAAAATAAAAATGCCTCGTCAGTTAAAAAGGCTCAAATAGTATCAAGCTTTGTTATCTATGGTATCAAGAATCGAAGAAGCATGGTCAATTCATACTGTGGTATAATAGAAATAAAAAATCTTTATTATAATATAAAAATCTTTATTATATTATAAAAATTAAGCAACGCTGGGAACAGGAAGATTTATTAAAACAAAAAGTTGGTTCAGGTCGTCCGAAAATGTCCACCCCTGCTCAGGATGCTGCTTTTTTGGGATATCTGAGGATTTATGGGAAACTATACAACTTACTATAATATACCTACTATACTGCTGGGAAGATATTAATCCAAATATTGTATTAAATTTAATTCAGTTCATCCCAAGTAGATTGGCTCAAGTAATAGAAAAACAGGGATGCATGACTAAATATTAATTTTTTTTAATGTTTGTTTTTTTCATTTCTAAAAGGTAATAATTTTTGTAATATTATTTAATTAACCTACGACGTCAATACTCTTTATAACCTATAGTAATTATTTTAATGATCATAAGTCGACTTATGACAGTGATAAGCCGGTTTTAAGCAATAATATTATTTTGACAGTTTTCTCTCATTCTAATTCTTGTACGCTTTTTTATTGAATATGTACAACTGTAACTCGGACAATAACGAAAAATTTACGAATACTTGACCAGATTTGAAAAAGAGGAAGCTAGCAATGTTTCTATGAATTTTTTACCTACAAAGTTAAGACAAAGCGTTGCAACGGTACGAAAAGTGCTATGAATTATTTAAAAACTGGAAAAAGGATCAAAAAGCCAAAAAATTAACAGAAAATGTATTAGTTGCTTATCTATCGGAAATATCAAAGATTGTGAATGCAGAATTTTTAATGTTAAAAAGCACTTAAAAATTATAGGAAAATATTAATTACACTAAATACAACAAATATGTTTTTAGACCTACCCACACTCCCCATAATCGCCTATACATTTATTATAAAAATAATAAATGCACAGTAAAACCGATTGGATAAAATACATTTAGCAAAATTTAAAGCAAAATAGACACTTTTTTAAACTTCCCAAACCTTATAAATACACAGGGCATTCCTTCCGTCGTAGTTCTGCAACCTTACTATAGCTAACGCTGAGAGTGATTTGCTGACACTTAAAAAACATGGGGGTTGGCGGTATTCGGCAGTTGCAGAAGGCTTTATCGATGACTGCATAGCTAATAAGATTAACATTTCACAATCCTGACAAACCAAGAACACCAGCCTAGTACTGGCAGAAATAACACAATTGAAGTGTTAAATATTTCTAATCAACTGAATAAAATACTAGTTTATACAGATAATTCTAATGAAACATCAACTTGTGTAGAAATAAGCCTTTAAATTCTGGTACTATCCACAATTGTGCTCAGGCATAATTAACATTAATTACAACAATAAATAAAATTGTTACTAAAGTTTTTTTTATAAAATTAAGATTATACGTGTTAATAAAATTAAAAAAAAAAAAATTGTTTGATGCTACGCGAAAAACAGATGTGTGTCACACATTCAGAAAACGCATTAGCAGCCCTTAGCTATCAACTGCCCTCGCTTCGCTTCGCTCGCTCGGGCATTTAATAGCCGCGGGCTGCTTAAGCTAGTTTTCTGCCCTTGAGACACAATATACTA